ACGCTCTGTTATCTCTCCAATTAGAAACAAATTTAGCAGGGCTAACAGTATCCCCCGCAGTTGAAATGACTATGGAAATAATAGGCAATTTTAAAAGCGTCAGTGCACTCCTGGCATTGAGGACCTGCATCCTTTGCACAAATTAGCCAGTCTTCCAATCCTATAAAACACTTCTCATACACCGAATTTCAGAGGCAATCTGAGGCTTATAGAGTTCAATAACATGCCTGAACTCCACAACTGGAAGGAACAGCTCTGGAACTAGAATTCTGCTCAGCACTACACTAGAACTAACACTGCTGTTTGCTCCAGGTTGAGGCTTACCACGCTTGCTTAACTCATTTCCTTCCACTATTCCAAAATGCACCTGAGATGATATAAAGAAGGACACTGTGCTCCAAACACTGGGTGGGAATACACAAGCTAAAAATTAATAATAAAGTAATTAAGAGTTGTGAATGCAGGAGAGAACATAATAGTCTGAGAAAATGTGAGCATACACACACTCAAAACGAAACAGACTCAAAAGATCCAGGTTCAGAAAATCATCTGATGCTATTCCCTGTGGGAAAAAGAAATTTTTAGGATTATTTTCCTTCCCTGACTGGCAATGAGAAAGAACAAATCAATATGTTATTAAACTGACAAAGCACTTTCTAACCTACCATGGCACTCTTACTTGTTTAAATAGGAAAGAAAATGAGAATCTTATTGAGAGTGCAAGTCCAGACAAATATGAACCACTAACTCAGCTAATAAAGGGGAAGCATCTTACTTTAAAAGGTCAAACTGAAGCAAAATATGAAGAGTAACATATACAATGTTTAACCAAAACGTACCCTATTATTATAAATATAAACTGGCAGAAGACTAGCACTGACATGAGCATCACAATCATATATTTTAATATACCGTTTTTCTCATTTTTAATTGCAGTTACCTTTCTAAAAGTATACTGATAACAGCTTTAGAAGTGTTTAAAAATATGATTTGAGTGAACAGAACATAAAAACACAACTGGGAAGAAATGTAAATATTCACAATTTAGATTATGATTTGTAATCCAGAAGACTTATAGAGTACTGTTTCCTTATTGTATAGGGATGTGTTTGTTACACATAGTAATTACTTTCCTTTGGGGAATGACTGTAAGACCAAGAGCACATCTTAAAGTCTTCTCACTCTAGTCTCCCTATTCTGTCACTTCGTAAATGCAAGTCCCAATCTCCAAAATGCAACGTTTCTCTTCACTACCTGGGATCTTTTGGGAAGTAGTGTTAAGACAGGTGAGTTAAGGGACACAAAGCCAACTTCAGGCTGGAGGCATGGAACAGCGAAGCCTTCACACTAATTCATAATCAGGGTCTTCTCCCGGGCCCATCACTTAGTAGCTGACTCCAACTGGGTCTGTTACCATGCTCTATGAGGTACAACTTTTCATGCGTTGGTTTCCTAAAACATGTAAAGAGTGATCACATATGTTCAGTGTATAAAAACTGCCTGTAATACTTACAAAGTGCCGGGTTCTAATCACGCTTAACTTGATGTTGCGAACTGCTACAAGATTGCATTGTTAACTTTGGGATGTTTCAGACATGACGATACATTTGAGGAGCAAGAGAACCTCATCAGATAAAGTGCTGCTTAGCAAGGAAAGCTAAGTAATCGTGCCCACTGTGGGCTAAGTTACTCAGTGTCAGAATGAGGGACATTTCCTCAGTAGATGCAAACAGGGTGCAAAAAAATTGTGAGAGCCAGGTGTAGCGGCACGGCACATGCCCGTTATTCCAGTCCTCTGCAGGCTGCGGTAGGAGGACCTTGGCAAGAGGCCAGGCTGGACTACTGATTCAGTCCCTGTTTCAAAATAAAATGGTTTCACAGCACCCAAAGCTTGCTTTCCTCTCAGCTGCTGTTCCAGGTAAGCCAGTCCTACTCTCATTCATTTCACAACCACACAAAAACTAAAGTTTGATTTGTATTAGCCAGAGTACACACAAAGGAATGGATTACTTTCTAAGTGGAACAGGCTCAGGGTCCCCCTGGCAAAGGAGTAGTGTAGAGCAGAGGGTATTCTATGCCTCCCACCACTCCTTATGGATAACTTCCTTCTTACCTGGGCACTCACTGTGCACGATGACCTTAATGCCTCAGTTCATGCACTCCACTTGAAAGTGCTGGGACAGGTGCACAGGTCACTTTCAATGCCGGCTTTAGGTGGAGCTGCTTTCTGGTATTTTTGTGAGGCCAAACATGTTGGTAAAAGCAGTTCAAAATGTAAGGTTCAGTGTACCAATTCTCAGATGCACCGAGTTAGGCAGGGCCTCTCGTCCCACCTGCACACTCTGAAGCACCAGCATGCAGACTCCCTGAGATCACCTCCCACTGGGGGACAGGCAGTTCCTAAGACTCCAAGCTCCTTTGTCAGGTAATTTACACTGGGTTCCTCCAGCCTCGAACCACCTTCCTCCACTCTTGTCTCCCCTTTTCATTCATCCTTTCAGTCTCTCCTTGCATACCACAGATTTTCTTAGGTCACAGGTGCTTCTGGACCTCGTGTACGGTCAGCTAAACTCTTTTCTGTATTTCTCTCAGTAACACCATGAAACTTATTAAGAGAAGATGCCCCATTGATGCTGAGGCAATAAGCTGGTGGCCTTCAGCATCTAATTTGTCATAATTAAGTCCTCATTCTTGAATAAGCCAAACATACACACACATAGTAATTTATTTTTATTTATATAAAATAGAGAGAAAATACTTTACAAAGCCAAATATTAACCATCAAAAACATTTCCAATTTCTCTATCCCGTGAACTCTGGGCTATTCTCCACATTCTAAAAGAGAAGAAATGCTTGAGGCTGGGGATTTAGCTCAGTGATACAGCACCTTTCTGACATGCACGAGGTGGTGAGTTCAATTCCCGGTACCGAAAAAAAAAAAAAAAGAAATGCTTATTCCAACTTCACCATATCAATAATGATAATGAAGGTTTTCATCATGTTTCTACAAAACAACAAAATTTTTAAACTGATGAACA